CCGCTCCGCTGGGGAACGCGCCGGGTTGGATCCTCCAGCCCCGCTCTGCTGGGGAACGCGCCGGGTCGGATCCTCCAGCCCTGTGCTCCGCTGGGGAACGCGCCGGGTCGGATCCTCCAGCCCTGTGCTCCGCTGGGGAACGCGCCGGGTCGGATCCTCCAGCCCTGTGCTCCGCTGGGGAACGCGCCGGGTCGGATCCTCCAGCCCCCGCTCCGCTGGGGAACGCGCCGGGTCGGGCGCGGAGCATCCGCCTGCGTGGAGCCGGGAGCGCCGCGGAGCCGGCACTTGGAGCGCCCTGCCAGGAGCCGCTGTCCGTCTGCTGCGGCACCAGGCCATGGTTTTCAGCAGGGCAGGAGCGGGACGAGGAGGTGGGAGACGTTTCCCTGTTGGTTTTAAGACGGCGTCTTTGAGCGTTTTGCCGGAATTCAGCTATGGAGAGCCTGGATTGATGGATGGCGTATGGAGATTTTTGCCTCACCGGGTAGAGTCAGTGGGATTGATGCGTTCGGGTGGTTTTAGAGGCGGTGGAGGGGGACAGGAGGCCCTCACATCGCAGCAGCCTGCACGGCGCTCGTCGTGACTGCGTCCCCACGCAGAGCAGAGAGGCCTGGAGCTGCCAGAGAGACGTAGCCCTTCCCGGTTCATACCGGGCACTTTCTCTAAGTGCTCGGGGCACTGCTGTGCTGAAATCATAAGTTTCCTTGATTCTTGTCCCATGCATGGACGCAATAAAGCGTAATTTGCACTGATTCTTCCCACTTAGAAATAAGATACTTAATTTTTTAATGCTAACTTTTCTAAGGTGAAGAGCTGGGGAGGGTTTGTAGAGCTGCTCTATTTAGGAGGGTTTCCTTCCCTGCTCTATTTAAGATTCCCAGAGGTGTTGAAGATGTCTTGCCCGCTCAAGCACTTGTGCCAGTGCCTCGAATCCGCTCGATGGCCTGTTCCTATGTCCCAGACCTGCTGCTTAGCTGTGGATGGGGTTAGGGAAGGCCGGTGCAGAGCAGGAGGGAGGCTCCCGGGAGGCCGCAGGGCAGATGTCTGTGTCCCTGCTGCAGAAGGCAGCGACGCTACGCGGGCGAGGGCCGGGAGGCAGCGCGGGAAGCCTGGGATCGTACGGGAATTGCAGGTGGAAGTGGCCAGGGCCGCTGCTCTCGGCAGGAGGCACCGCTCCGTGCTGCGTGGGGCCGCTCCGCGCTCGAGCAGGTTTTGAGGTGACCTTGACCTGGCATTAAACGCTCCTGGGTGCCAGGCCAGCTCGATCAGTCTAAGCGGGCCGGAGCGCCCGATGAAACGCGTCCTTGTTTCCCCTAAGCTGCTTGCACACACCACAGATGGTGTTTGCAGTGCCCCAGCGCTCACTGCAGGAGGTGCCTGCAGTGGAAAACGCGGCTGACGCCGGCGATCCATCAGAGCGGGGAGCCGGGCCCTGGGCCGCTGCGGGGAGCGGGGCCAAGCAGCCGGTCCCTGTGTCCCACATGGCACAGAGCGGAGCCGGGCGGCTGGTCCCCGTGTCCCTGCACCCGTGCTCTGGGGCTGTGTCACACCGAGAGGCGGTGGCTGCTCCCGGGGATGCTCTCAGCAGCCCCCAGCCCCTCCGTCCCCTGTTCCTTGTCCAGCCGCTCGGCTCCTCTTCCCGTCGGTCTGTCAGTCCCCAAGGGTGACGGGAACCTGGTCCCGCCAGGCTTTGAGGGCTGCCGAGGAGATACTGAAAACTCTCCCGTGCTGACGACGATGGGAGCTGAGAGCACTCGGTGTTTTGCACAATCTAACCCTTAATCTGTAAGGGGAAAGTCTGAAAATGCCAAACATCCCAAAAATGCGCCCACCTCTCCCCAGTCCCGCAGCGTTATCGCAGAAACGCTCCTGCTGCAGCACCCTCTGGTGGTGCCGGTTCCTCCACGGCCTCGGCTCCGTAACCCGCTCCAAGGAGATGCACCGTAACTTGGACCCCCTTCAAGCAAGGAAAACGACTCTTTGAGCCCAAGAAGCCATCACTATGTGAATATGAAAGGGTGAAGGGCCACAGACCCTTGAAGCAGGAGCAGCCTTCGCTGGTGCACTTCTTCCCTAGGAGCGAGGGCTGTGATCGGTTATTGCAGAAGTTTCCCATTCTCTGACCTGGTCCTTGTGTGTCTGTCCAGCTCAAAGCTCTTATGTGGGTTTGGAAGAGGTTTTTTGCTGTGGCCGCAGATCAGCTTGTACGGGGCCTAAGGAGCAGAGTGCCCAGGAGCAGAGCACAGGCTGGTCCCGGGCAGGAGCTGCTCCCGGCAGCGCTGTGCAGGGCAGCGGACGGAGTTTCCTCTGCAGCGCACGGGGGACACGAGGGACACGGGGGCCTCTCCCAGCCGCTCGTTGTCCCGTCGCTCTCCCGAGCCTGGGCCTGGCTGTGGAAAGGACAAGCCAGCGGTTGCAACCTGGTTATTTCTGGCGCCTTGTTCCAGCGCGAGAGCAGCCGCGGTTGCCCGTTCCCGGGTGCTCTGCTGTTCCTTTTCCCGCTGAATGGCGCAGCCCCTGCCCGATGGAGTTACTTTCTCTTCCTTCCTTTTCAGCTGAACTGTCTCAAGCGCTGAA